CTTGTGGGATGCATGACATCATATTATCAAATTCAAGTAAACTTTTGAAACATTTAAATTAGCATTATTTTTGGCATAATAAATAATGCTATATTTAATAATGCTGTAAAATAATTAAATAAAATATAAAATAATGCTAATTTAAATGATTCAAAAGTTTACTTGCATTTGATAAGAAGCTGCGTGGGCGAAAATTACATGTAAACAATTTTAAGGCTATTTTGGCTATGCTCATCGCTGGTCTGGTTACTGGTATAGGGCTATAGCCAAGCCGTTAAAATTAGACCACAGATTGCCTCGATTTCTCCGGGTGGGCTAAAAGCAGACTACACGTAGCCCGTCTAATTTAGAGCGAAATCGTGGCTACATATAGACCATGCCATGAAATGACACTTATATATGTGTAGATATTATTGACACTGCGAACATGATGGGATATCAACCATCTCATGCGCTGCCTGGCCAAAAACTACAGTGAGTCAGGGTTGACTACAAGTGGGCTACAGATAGCCGCTCTGACTACGAGCTAAATCGTGGCTACGCTCAAGCTACGTATTGAACTTGTGAAATAAATGAAACCAAACACCCTGTAAACGCTGTTGACTTTGCTTATATGATGGAATATCACAAGTTATTTTGCCAAAAAACGACATGAAACCAAATTCAAGGTTATTTGGGCTAGAAGTGGGTTACACATAGCCGGACTATATCGGGTCTATACTTAATCGAGACGTTGAAATGACGGCTATTGCTTGCTGGGATGCTTAAAAATCACATGTAGTAGGCTACAAACATATTGAGAACAAAAACAAGATTCTGCCACTGCCAAGGTTACGTATAGAAAATAATACAACAATGAAATCAGTGAAAAATTAATCCCAACTTTACTGAAAAAAGTACAAGCAGCTGCTTGCACAACACACATTCTGTAAATACAATTAGCCTAAATACATTTACCTCAAAGTTTGTTAAATGAGGAGGTTCTGTTTAATATAGAGTTTGTTTAATTTGGAAAGCTTGAAATAACGTTATGAAAATGTATATTGCAACTTCCATAATCCCCTATCCAGTAAGAAAAATATCTGCTACTTAGTGTAGGCTAACAGCTATGCTATACTTGATCTTATTTGACACATGATCATCACCTCAGTCTGCTTTGTCTATAACCTACTGAGACCCAAATCTTTACCCCAAACACCTATTAATCAACAACCAAGCATTGATGGAGAATGTGAAGGGAGAATGCATTTCTGAATACTTCACTGATTGTGAATAGCGCTATACAAATACAATTAATTGGGCTTATTGGCTAAAAAGATACTAAAATTTAAAGCAAATTTCTGTCACGCCAAACTGAAGTCTGTCTTCCCTGGCCTTCACCCTTATTTGGAGTATACGGTCAAGCTAAATAAGTCAGGCTGGGCTGCAGAGACGCACACCCATCACATCATACCCATGATGCAGCGCGGCTCAGTCCGGTCGCCATGATTCCTGTGCAGATGTTTTCAGAGCTCAGACTGAGGAGATTTGACGCTAAGCTAACGGCCTGAAGCTCTGCACTTAAACCAGTTTCAATGCACTCATCGACGTTATAGAGAGATACCAGAGTCTCCAAGATAACATACAGTCTTGGGTTATGGCGACCAATGCCGGGGGTATGATATATATGTAATATTAATTTACACGTAGGTTAGCTCCCAGCTAGTGCTAACGAGGTAGCTGCTTTTGTTTTTATAATTTGCTGAGCTTCTGAGATCTGCTGTTGGTTTAAGTTACAGATTGAACACAGTTTACCTTGATGTCACGACTATCTGTTAGGATGTTTTTTAACTCTATGGTGTGTCATATTGATGATCGTGAGTTATTAGTAGACGTGCATTTACATATTTTTACTCATTTGTGGTTGCTAACTAGCTAGCTGAAGGGTTGCAATGAATGCGCAGCCCGTGTGTTAGTATGCACAATGCAACGAATGATGTATACTTGGATAGTGATTTTGACATTTAAATGGTGGATGAAGAACAGTTGTGTGTAGCACGATGAGGTTGGGTCTGTATGGTTATATAAGCATCTGTAACGTTAACGGTGCCTCTTCAGACAGCAGGACTTGTTTTATCCAGGCCAGAGATGCAAATGATGTGTTTTGAGAAGATCTCTATTTCAATAAAAACTGGATAGTTCTGTCACTCTGTAATAACACGTACGAGTTTGTGTGTTGAATGTAGGCGTGATGTGTGTTGTAGTGGTTTATTACAGAGACCAGGGTCAGTTCCTGTAAATCCCTTTAACCTGTCAATCCTACACATCACTGTCAGCTGCAAGGTTGCAGATCTGATTTGATATATCTGTATTTGATTTGGATTACATGCAAATGTGCTTACCAGTGAACATAATTATGCTGTAAATTGGTAGTCGAGCAGCCTAGAAAGTAAATATATCTTCCAGTGGCTTCTTTAAAATAACATTTGTACTGGGTAATGTTTTTTTTTTTTGGAATACCGAGCTGATTATATGATAAACAGCTGTTGCCAAATTGATGGTTAAGCCCAAAATTAAAATTCTGTCATAATTTACTCACCCTCATGTTGTATAGGCTATGACTGACTGCGGTGGTACATAAAAGATGATATTTTAAGTAATGTGTTTTTGTTTATGTAATGGATTTCAGTAGTCACCAGTCTGTTTTGTTTCCAACATCAAAATTTATTTTGTGTTCTGCAGAAGTCATACAGGTTTGGAGTGACATGAGGGCAAGTAAATCATCACAGAATATTTGCTTCAAAGAGAAATTACTGCTTCAGAATCTTGAACCCTAACATCTCTATATGATATAATATAGTGTGTAATGAAAGCTTAATGTGTTTCATTTTTTTGTCTGTGTGTAGATGATGAGTTTGATGAATATGATAAGCCTGGTGCTGAAAGGTCAAGAAGACGGAGAGGAGAAGATGACTACTTGGAAAGGTAAGTCTTCACTGTCGGCTTAGTTTTCATGTCTCTATTAGGCAGAATGAAAAAGACGAATAAAGAGAGCATCAAGTTTACCAGAAGCACAATAGCATTCCAGCAAGAGTCTTTAATAGGGTTGGGTGATGTCTACCAAATTGGCATAGGACGATGTCTACAGTGAAACATCACGTTGGACAATGACATCGGGGGAGGGATGGTGGTGGTGGAGGAATCACGATGCTGGCTCAACATCGTGATGTCATCAGCCATCAGCGATGGACGATGGCATCGTCTATCGGCCCAACCCTAGTCTTTTATAGTAGGGGTGGAATGGTTCAACTTACTCACGGTTCAGTTTGTATCACGGTTTTAGAGTCACGGTTTCGGTACAGTTCGGTATGTGCTATGTTTAGGGAAAAACTATACTGTCACATAAAAATAAAGAAAATAAGAATAATCTAACTACAAGCAACAGCACAAATAAATACAATAGAGTAAAGATACAAATAAAATAAACAGTAATTTTCTTTTTTTTTGAGGTAGGTCTAGCATTAGTTTTTAGGTACAGAAATTGAATAAAGTAATGAAATGTAAAACAGCATTGCATATTTGACTGTATAAATGAAATATTAATCTTTATTAAAGTTACAAAAGCTATTCAATCAAGAGCAGTGAGTGATTTCTTTGTTGTTGCTATTTGGTTAATATTAAGAAAGTGCTGTCACTTTAAGAGAATGCAGATACAGTACGTTCAGCCGGCGATGTCTGTTGTAGGATACTTACCAAGACGGGCATTTTGACATAATTTTTGTGTGAATTTGTCCATTTAAACACAATACTTCAGAGAGAGCTTAATATTTGCGCGGGTTTGGGCGCTTCGTATGAGCGCATGCACAAATCTTCTCACTGCGCGTGTGAGTTCGCGTCCTCTGGCTCTTAAATGTTTAAACTGGCAAAGCTTACTTGAGTTTAGTTTAAACTAGGGCTGCACGATTAATCGCATGCGATATTTAACGCGCATCTTATCAGTAAAGCCGGTTCTGTAATCAGCGGTAAATCTCCATCACCTGCGTGCTTTCACATTGAGCAGCATTAACTACACAGAGCCGTTGTTCACTGACGAGCTGCGCTAAACCACGTTCATATTCGCGCGATTCTTTGCGCTGCTCATCAGTGAACAACGGCTCTGTGTAGTTAATGCTGCTCAATGTGAAAGCCCGCA